TGTTCCCACCACTGCGTACACGCCGGAAGGGCACGGGGGGAACAGGTGCCCCTGGATCTGCACGGGGGGGGCGGGGCAGGCGGCTGCTGCTGCAAGCTGGGGCCAGGGTGGGCCAGGCTGCACTAGGGATGGGCAGCAGTGGCAGCGCTGGGAGGGGAGTTATGTTTTAATATTTCTTCCAGGAGGGTGGTAAAATGTTTGCATTGGGTTTTGGATTCAGAAATCTCTAGCAATTTATCCCTTTCTATTCCCTGCTAAAAGGACCCTCTAATACCACCAGGGAACAGAAAAAAAGCAAAACCTGGCTGAATCAGAAATTCTTTACTTCATCAAGTGGGTACTTTTCAGCAGTCTTTCAACATGCTTATAATGTGTTCTAGCATATTATTTTACTAGGTCACTATAAAAAAGACACATTTTCTACTTAATTTAATTACATTTCTAATTCAGATAAGTGTTGTAATTCTGTAATGAACATGCTACCACAATTCATGTATCAGCCAAAAAAACTAGTTATTTAAGAATTAGTTCATTCTGTCTCTGAAGCACTGTCAAGATGGAAAGTGCTAGCTAAGAAATAATTGTATTGTTTGCAGTGCTGTACAGATCTCTTTTTTTTGAAAATGTATGTTAAACTATTATCAGATTCATGTAGCATCCAGCAAATCAGTACATTACTTTTGTTTAAGTGCATATGGAAAAAGGGTTATAGTGATTTTCTGTGTTGCTGTTCATGTCTTATCCCTATTCACCACGTGGGATGGAGGTAGTTTCCTTGGCGTTTTGAACAGATATTGAGCAGTAGCTATAGCTTCTGTGCTACTTGCTTAACTGCCCTTTAGGTTATCTTCATTAAACAGATAAGGCTTACTTGTCTGAAAGCAAGTTGAAAAAGCATCCGCATATGTATACACTACGGGAAGGAGACAAAAAATTTCCATTCAGTCAGAAACTTCCAAGATCAGAGGTGTGAAATACGAAATCTCTGTCAAACTGGGCAAAAAGCATAGGGGATCATATGAGTGCTTGGACCTGTTATCAGCTTGCTTTTGATTGAGCAGCTTCTTATGGAGGCAGTGGTAGTAGTCAGGTGTGAGTTAACAAACAACAAAACATATGCAGAAATCAACTTCTGCAACAGAGAATGGAGAACTCATTCAGATGAAGCAAGGAATTATTTGGGAGACAGACTGGGAATGCAGCAAGCCTGGATAATAAGGTATCTCCCTTTAGCAGTAAGCACAATTCATCCTCTGATGGAAAATTTAGCAGTTCTGCCAAACATTTGGAATCTGTTCCACTAAGTCTACTAAGCTTTTATTTCCATCTGGTTCAGAGTTCTTAGGTTCACACTTGCATCCTTCCTTCTTGGAATAATAAGATTATAATTTCAAAAGAATAGAGTAATACTGCAATAATGAAGTAGATAAAATAGATTTAAAGCTTCTGTGATAACTTGGAAACTAACACATTCAGATGTTCTTTTTTGATTACATATCTCTTTATAACCTGTATGTTCTCTTCAAATCAATAATTATTAACTGATATCAGGCCTCGATTATATATTGTAAGCCACCACTGCAAAGCTTTTGATTTCACTCTACACCGAGCAAACTAAATTAAAAGACATGAGAAAATGAGAGAGAGAGAAAAAATAGATGAAGAGAACTGCACCTTTGCATCGCTCGCAGCAGGCTCCTCTCTGCTTAACGACTAGGGCACACTCCTTGGAAAGCGTTGGGCACTTCTCTCGTTTGCATGTCACTTCTTTATTCTAGACAAAAAAGGCAAAAGGTGTTAAAAGCAAAAGTAAACATTGATCTCTGTTTCTTGCCACTCAAAAGGCAAAATACAGAGTTAACAAGTCACAACTTCCTTTCTTGTGATTCAAAATAATTTTCTCTCCTTGTAGAAACAGACATTCTTCTTTATGGTAAACATAAAGCAGACGAGAGGAGGGGACGGAATCATGACTTTCAAAGGACATCTAACCTAGATAAAATGATGCCAAAGGAAATGTATTACTTTTTTGTGCAGTGCAAAAAAGATAATATTTGTATAAACTGTATTTCAGGCTAGGAGAATCCCTGGTCCAAGCCTTCCTTGTGGGAATAAAAATATTTGTGCATGATTGTACTACAGTCCTAAAGAGAACAGTAAATTAAAATGCAACAGTCTAACGCTCCAACCCAAATAATGGCAAAGTTGGTCTTGAATGGATTTAGTTTTTTAAAAAAATGAAATCTAAATGCCATGTGAGGAGATATTAATGAAAAGTTCATGGCATAAGGATAGCTGTCTGATAATAGGCCCATTTCAACATGAAAGGCAGGAATGGATGGGCTTTCCTTATTATTCTGTTGTGGTTCTTTTGAATGTGTTTTACTGTAAGCCACCTGGACCCTTCTTGGGAAGGATGGCATAAAAATCTAATGAATATATACATAAATAAAAACATTAAGAGCATTGCCATTTGCTGTCATTTTTTAAATGGTAGGAGTTTAAATATACAAAATACTGCACTCGCATCATAATAAATTTAACAACATGCTCAACTGCTTTGATGAACAGATGTGGGATCACATACATGATTAAATGATTTCCTGTATCTCAGTTTTGACACAGGTGCATTTACTTGTGATTGCAGGTTTATCTGAAGACCTCCCAGGAAAGAGATTTTTTTGGCTGTTGAGAATGAATCATAATGAAGGTTGCCTAACTGGGAGAGTTTTAGCAACAATAAAAATCCATCAAATGGGGGTGCATTTCGATAGGGCTATGAGGTTAATCACTGTTCACGTGGTTGTCATATAAGCTATTTAATACAGAATATGCAAAGCAGGAATTACAAGCAATGAATAATTCTTATCGAATAAGAAACAGATCCAAAAAAGCACTCCAGTGCCAAAAGTGAAACTTTCACAGAATTGAGACATCCGTGCAGTCCACAAAATCACTGCAAACAATTTAAGCTCCTAAAAGACCAGAAGTGCCAATGCCCTAGCCAGTGAAACTGCTTAGGTCATAAACAGGTATTTATTTCTAGAAGTAGCAATTTCTGAAAAAAATTCCACTGCTAGAAATCTTTCCAGGAGCAGTACAGGTGTTCAGCCTGCAGCCACCCCATCTTGCTGGGTCTCTGCATCTTCCCCAGACCAGGGAGAGTCTTCCCTGAGCCTTCCCCAGAACAAAGACCTCTGGTCTGGGGAACAGGTGGGGGCACTGTTTTCTGGCCTGCTCCTGGTCTTTGGAGCAGGGACAGACATTCAAAAACTCTGAGCCTGAATTGATTCAATCTTTTCATGTTAGTCTAACCTGGCTAGGCTGAACCAGTTTGTAACCATGCAGATATCCCCTCTGGACAGCAGAAATGCAGGCATGTGCCTGCAGTGGCTCAGGCTGGAAGCTGGGATGCACTAGAGCAGGCCTCCCTTCCCTTCCAAAATGCTGAGCTGAAGGAAGGCATGGCCGGGCCCTGGCAGGAAGCTCCCCCCACCCGTCGCTGCTCCTGACCAGCAAGGAGTTGCACAGCATTTAGTTACACAGCAGGGAGTTACACAGGGAGTAGTAACACAGCATTTAGCACCCCATCAAGCAAACAAAAGCCTCTCTCATTAGTTCAAGCTCTCCTTAAACAACTTTTTCCATGGAAGAAATGGAGGGACATTACCAGCTGACCTATTGATTAGCTCCAAAATGCCTGTCCTGTCTGCTTTACACAGACACCTCTCAGCATTAGCTAGCATACCACATACTGGCTACAGTCTCTGCCATGGAAAAGGGGAGGGGGGGATCCCTGCTTGAGCAGGAAGTGGTGAGGTGGCTGGGGCAAGCGGAAGCAGACAGACACTGCTGTGGCTGCAGTCTCTGCCAGAGCTTCAACTAGGGAGCAGAGGGCCAGCCCTGCTCTGAAGCAAACCTCCACCCCCCACCCCCAGGGCTGCAAAGAACCTTGGATGCTGGACTGTGGTTTAAATTAAATCAGGAAGGGGTCTGGGACAGACATTGCATAAACCAATTTGACCCAAATCAGTTAAGTCTGATACTACATTCAGCCAGGTTTATCTCAAACCAGTTTCAGCCATTTTCAAACTGGCTTATGTACACTGGACATCCGTTCTGTTACAGATTTAAACCGGTTTCTGATCACTTAAACCAATTTATGTATAATGTCTGTCCCTAGCCCAGGAGTGGAGTGGAGGCAGCAGCAACGCAAAGCCCCCAGCCCATTCCCCAAACTAGGCAGTCTCTGATGCTTTGCTCCTCTCCCATACCTGGAGGGAAGCAGCATACAGGTGTTCATTCTTGTGAGAGAAAATCTCTTCCAGGGGAAATATTCCAGGTGTCATTCTCCCAGATGGGACATGTTTCCTCAAGGTGAAATTGAATGAACACTTGTACATTTCTAGTTTCTACTGGGAGAACAGCAATTGTCACAATAGAAACATAATGCCTGTACATGGACTTAGATACGTGAAGTATTTCCCCTGCTGTTGCCCAAAACTCTCACCATCTCAACCAAACAGTTTAGTGTCTCTTTGACACTGACATTTGTTTGGGCATCACAAACCAGGAATCCCTTCAAACTCCAAGGGGCTCAATCTGGTAAGCATGCCTAAAACCCACATACAGCACTGAGTTTAGCACCCAGGGCAGCACAGACTGCCACTTCCCTCTAAAACACGGCCAGAAGAGGACACAATGGTGATGTTACCTGCCTTTTTTCAAATAGCCTAGTGATTAAGGTGCTTGCTGGGAAATGAGAGACCTAGATTCAATATTATCTTCAGCCTGTGAAAGGTTCAAACCCATATCTCTCATCTTCCATAAGAATGCCCTAAACACTAGCTTACAGGTTAGGGTGCTTAGGGTAGGCAAGGGCACTCTTCACCTTCCTGCTGCTGCTGTGCCACTACGCATAAAGAAATACAGGACTCATGGGCTGGTGACAGACATTACACATAAACCAGTTTAAGTGATCCGAAACTGGTTGAAACCTGTAACAGAACAGATGTTCAGTGCATATAAACCAGTTAGAAAATGGTTGAAACCAGGTTGCAATAAACCTGGTTGAATGTGGTATCAAACTTAACTGATTTGGCTCAAACCGGTTTATGCAATATCTGTCCCAGACCCCTTGTTGGTTTAAGATAAACCAAACACCCTCAGCATCCTGGCATGCTCTCTGGGCTGGGCAGGGGTTTCTGCTTCACAGTAGGGTTGGCCCCTCCCCTCTGCTCCCAGGGCAGAGCTCCTCCAGCACAGACTTGCAGTCACAGCAGGGTCTGCTGGATTCCCTGTGCCCCCTTTCCCCTCCCCTTTCACCACTTCCTGCCTAAGCAGGGAGCCGTTCCTCCCCTCTCCCACAGCATGGACCATAGCCAGCATGTGGTATGCTAGCTAGTGCTGTATAAGGCTGTGGCAGAGACTGCAGATGCAGCAGGGTCTCTTGGCTTCTCCCTGCCCTACCCAGTGGAGTACTGATGGAGGGTGGGGTAGTAGGGGGGCCATGGCCCCTGGGTGCTGGCCTGGGGAGAGGGGGGCACCAACCAGAGAGGCCAGGACACCTCCCACATTTTGTGTGTGACCCACCCGCCCACCTAGCAGGTTGTGGACTTCTTTTGCCATTCTGGCTGGAAATTCTGGCCGCTGCCCCTCCCCCTGCACCCAGTGTGCTGCACTGCTAATTCTCCTACAGAAGTGCCATGGGGCAGGAGGCAGGGCCCTGCAGAGGCTGATTTGCCTAGGGATCCACAACCTGCTCAGATCATCTGGGGCTGCGCAAATGCAGGCACTGGTCCCCAGGCGTTGGAGACTCACAGTATGCCACTGGCCCAACCCCCGCATTGTGCTCAAGCAAGAAATCCCTCCCCCTCCTTCCCTCCCATCTCCCACAGCATGGACCCCAGCCCGACAGACCCTAGGCATGTGGTGTGCTAGCTAATGCCAAGAGGTGTGTGTCTCTCCAACTTCATTGGCACAGGCAGGCAGACAGAAAAGGGCTTTTGGAGCTAATCAACAGGTAACCCTGGTAAGCTGTTTAAGAGGAGTTGAAGTAATGGGAGAGAGCCTATTGTTTTGCTAATCGGGTGATAAAGACTCTTATCAGCTCTGGGCTACCTTGCTCACCTGTCAGTTTGCTGCAGACAGTCTGACAAGCAGGGAGGGAGATTGAAGAGCTCTGTATCATCAACAGCACTCCCCACCCCACCTTGCCTCAGAGTGCCAGTGGGGAAAAGTCTGGGATGGTGCAGGCAAACCTCCCTAATGACAAAGTCCTGCCAGGGCCTGGCCATGCCCCCCTCAGCTCAACTCTACACAAGGGAAGAGAGTGCTTCCTCAGTCCAGAGAGAATGTCTGTCCAGCTTCCAACTGGTTCAGCCTAGCCAGGTTAAACTAACCTGCCAAGGTTGAATCAATTTGGTCTCAGGCTTTTTGAATGTCTGCTTCTAGCCATGGGGGAAGAGAAAGTAAGAAAGAGGGAACCTGGATCAGTAGCCAAATGATGTGGTTACTAGCCTTAGAGAATTGAGCTCTGAGTTCAGATCCCTGCTTGTGGCCTTATTTCAGATATAGCATATACACAGGTATATATATACACAGGCAGTCCTCAACTTAAGACTTTCGAGTTACAATGCATGTGCGTAATGTGTTCTATCTGAGAAATCTCATTTTAAAAGTGGGCAGCCACTTTCTGCACAGACTAAAATTTTCTGAGAGTCTTAAAATGTGTTCCTATGAACTGCACATTTCAGTACTCTTGTTGCAAAATGG